CTATGCCTGCATTGGCTGTTTTAGCCGATTGCCTATGCTCTCACACATATAGCATGTTTTCATGAATCTGTCAACATATAGATGGTTTCATAGATTCTCTGGCTTTAGTTTGTTATCATTATCATAGCTGCATCGATCCGATCGAACCTCACTGTTGATGATAATAGATTAAATTCAGATTGTTTATGGATTCATTTATGATAAACAGTCGATTGTTCGCGTGTTATACTCTTTTTATCAAACTTATCGGCTCAACGTTTTATATTGATCATGTTCTATTTAGCCGATGATGTTTTTTTATGTTCCATGAGCATCGTTTATTTCTATTCATATCATTATCGTTTAATATTAGCCGATAATTCTTGATTCAAAGGTCTTCATTCCATGAATACGCTGGATATCGACTATTTAGTCGATAGCCCCCATTGAATCGGCTATTTGGCCACATATTAGAACTATCTGGTGCAACACCGACATGTTCTACCTTAAACTACTAATTATTCTCTCCCTGTCAATTGCAGGGTCAAATTGATTGGCACGCCTTTGGTCCTGAAACTAACCGTTCTTGTGTTGAAGCTAAGTAGATCATTGGGTTCACTCCGTCAAGATCATCTGGCTTGCCGTGTGTTGATCATATCGCCACATTTTTGTGTCAACAATATTGTTCATCACAGATGTGAAATTAGTTCAATGATGAAGTCCTGTTCATCATAGTTTTAAAGGAGATCGTCACAGATGAGTCGCGCGAGTGATCTGTGATGAAATCATGCGCTCTTCTATGACATTTTTTGTGATGATGCCTGATTTCGTTATAGAAAGGGAGGGTTGCAGGATCGTCATCACTAATCTATGACGAAATGGAAATATTCGTCATAAAAAGCGATCTTCTATGACTGTTTCGGATTCGTCATTAAGATTTTCGTCATAGAAGTGGATATTTCTAGTAATGACTAGACGGAGCCAATGAGAAAGAAGCTAATGAAACAATCTAGTTTAAGAAGAAAAAGACAACAATGTATATGATAGCACTTTCAAGCGATATTTTCAATTACAAGAAGTACTTCAAGTGATCCTCAACTTTAAATGATCATACCAACCTCCAAGTGCTATCTCTCTCATATTTCAAGTGGTCATCACTCATATCCTCACTAGAAGCATCCTTTATGGTAATTGATGATGAAGGGGGAGAGAATGGAACAAAGATGTATATGAAGAATATGACAAAGGGGAGAAGGATAATGCAAGATTGAATAATAGAAGGTCATCAATTTTTTTTGAACAACATGAAGCACACAAGTAGGGAGAGCAAGCTCATGGACTTTGTTTGTTTCATACATTTGGTTGTGCATAACATATGTTTGCTTGCATTGAGGATTTAAATTCAAATATATATGCTTGTGTGATGTTTGCTAACCATAGCTTGATTGATGTATTGAGTAGTAGATGTAGTTATTTTATCCTTTTTGTGCTGTAATATGTTGTTAAGTTTTTAATCTAAGTAATATCTAGTTATTCCAAGTGGTATCTAGGAAACAATAATGCTAAGGATGGATTTCACAAGTGGTGTTCATGCTACAAAGGTACATTCTAATCTTGTAGAACTTCCCCACAATTTTCATATTTATACATATGTGCATGACTCGAAGACAAACTTAGTAAGCAGATATGTAGGGGAAGTTGTCACTACCAAGTTGAATTTTGTGAATTTTGTCCAACATATAACATGCTCTTCATGCTAAGGATAAAAAGCGCAAAAAATTCCAAAGCAAGTTTGCAATATATGTGTGTATAGTGTGAACTTTGAAATTTCACTTATTTTCATATATTTGCAGGGTTTTCAACAATTACCAAAAAGGGAGAGATTGAAAGCCTGGTTTGGTTTTGTTATTTGAGTGACAACATTAGGTGGCCTAAGTGAAAGAATCTAGATGGCTAGAGGGAGGTGAATAGCCTATAAAATTTTACTATACAAACTCACAAACACTAAAGCAAAGTGGTTAGTAAAATAACAAATCCTAATAGCCCCTACTGTGCCTATAGCTCTAGTTTACCTAGATCAAGCCCCTACACAATTCTAGTTGCAATAGAATTCTATCACTAGAGCACACAACCACACAAGTCTATCAACTAAACTAGCCACACTAGAGACCTAAACTACAAGCAACTACACTACACAAGCAAAGTATGAAAGAAAGCACAAGTGTAGTAATCAATAATACCGAACCAAGCAAGAGATGAACACAATATTTAACCCCGAGGTTCGGTTGCTTGCCGACAAACTTCATCCTCGTTGTGGTGAGCCTAAATGTGATGATTCACATGCTAACTAGATGTTCAAGCTAGACCCACAACTTGGGTGCTGCAACAATCACACAAGGAGCACTCCAACAAGCCATGAGCATTCCACTAGAGTTGTTCTTCGCGATCTCCCGTGGGGACAAACACAAGAGCCCCTTATAATTAAATCGATCGAAGGAGTCAAACAATCACCACAAGCCCCTCAAAGATCCTTCAATCATCAAGTCATCTAGGTGGCTGCAACCACCAAAAGTAATAATAAAACCAAGGCTCAAATGATGAGCTAGTGCCACGAGATGCAAATAAACTAAGCAAATGCACTAAATCTCTCCCAAACTCACTTTGGATTAAGAAACAAGCAAGAGATGAGTAGGAGGTGTTCTTGAAGGCTCACACAAGTGTTGGAATGCTTAGAATGCCAAGAGAGCTCACCCAAGAGCTCCAGCCACCCATCGAAAAAGTCTGGTGCCCAGCACCGAGACTTTTGGTGAGTTTGTTTGAAAACCCCTCTCGGTGAATAGAACACTTAGGGTCTGTTTGGTTGAGCTGTGCCTTCTAAAAAAGTTGTTGTGAGCTATTGACTGTGAAAAAGCTGTTGTGGATTGTGGGCTGTGCGAAAGTTGAAAGCCGCTTGGTTCAACATCTGTGGCTTCTGTAAAAGTTGTTGTCAACAGGCCCCACATGTCATCTGTGACCCTACATGTCAACCAACCACCTAATGCATATTTCTCTGTTGTGTGTTTCTTCATTGTAGACGGCAGTGGCACAGCCCATGGTGGAGCTCGTGCCAGCACTAAAGGTCACGACCACAACATATCTCATGCCTATGGTGGCAGTGGCAGAGCTCGCGCTCACGCATTTACCCGCGATGAACCTCGTGCACGCGGCGGCAGCGGTGGAGCTTGCACTCATGGTGGCCGCGACAGTGCAGCTCACGCTCAGGAAGGGGATAGAGGCCGAGAGAAAGAGTTGTTCAGGAAAAAAGAACGAAGTGGTACCTTCCATAACCAGTGACAAGTGGGTATTTTTTTTCAAAGTTACCCACCTCCGCAGCCGGTGAAAGCAGAGGGAGCTGCTACGGTACTAAAGGAAAATTGGCTTTTGCCCCAAAGTAGCTATGGGTTCCCGTCCTTTTGGTTGGCTTCTCACTTTTGGAAGCAAAAGCAAGTTCCAAAAGTCCAACCAAATGGGGCCTTAATCTTCCGGTGATGTCTTTTTGGTATCCACTAGATAAATCCGATGGCTAACCATAGCGACATGTAACACCAACATAGTACCTCTTTCTCTGGTGCGCAGACACGCTTGATATAACTCAATCCTAACCGTACTTGCCAGTGGCGGACCCAGTGGGTAGCCTGGATAGGTCCAGGACTACCCACAAATTTGACCCAAAATTCTATTACTACTCTTGAGAAACTGGTCCAAATGCTCTCCTTCGTCTCAGCCCAGGCCGAAGACACCGCAAATCCACGAGCTCTTCAAAATAATAACACGCCTGAGAGGGATCGAACCGGGGGACCTTCTGCCTCGGGCTGCAGCGCACTTACCAGTCCAGCTACGAAAGTTTGTTGGATAGGCAATACCCGCAACCCTATTTAATAAAGGAAAACAGGGAAAATACCCCTTAATTAATCACTCCTTGTATGCTAAATCATGTCTAAACGACTTTCTTTACCAGTATGGAGGGAGTATTTATGTAAGTTTCCAACCTTTTAAATGTATTATCATAATTTGGTTAATTTATAGCTAAGTTTGCCGAATTTTTGTTTGGATTTTATAGTATTGCACATAAATTTTTTTTACTAGGACTACCCTGGTGTCAGATCCTAGGTCCGCCACTGGTACTTGCCATCCACTTGGCACTAAGTAGCTAAGAGACCGAGTTAAACAAACAATTCTGTCGAACACACCACCAAGTTAAACAGTCAAGGCCAACAGCAAGTAACTCCAAGAAAAATGGCCAGCAACAAGTAAATAGCACCAGCGACCCACCGCGTGTCGTTCCAGAAGCGCCAGTGCTGGTGCACGGCGGAGGTGGGTGCAGAGCGTGAGCTGGGCTGGCTGCAGGTGCGCAAGGAGGATGAGAACGACAGCGAGCGGGAGGGAGGCTCGCGTCGCAGGAGATCCGGATGAGCTAGCTAGACTGAAACTCGGCGGGCTCAGTGTCACAGTGTGTGTTTCAACCGGTTTCATCACCACTCGTGCAAGTTGAGTTTCATCGAAACTCTTCTCTCTCTTCTCGTTAATATCCCGTGCAACTCAGTAATTTTGCTGACATGTCACAGCATTAATTAGAAATAAAACTCCTTTGAAACCCTATTGATACTGGCCTAAAGCGTACAGTCAACATCATTGCTAATTAAAAAAAAATCCCTGCTTCCTAGAAAAGGCACCACAGATAGCTATAGAATCAAAAGGTGAAGAAATAAATAAAAGGAGAAAAAATGAAGAGAAAAAGCTTATATACTTATTCAAAAGAAAAATAATAAAGGAGAAAATGGTCCCTGGCCGTACACCGGCACACGAGACAGCCACCCCAAAACGCGGATTGATGATGATATATTGGTGGCCGACGAGCGGGGCCTGAGCACTCTCTCCTCCTACTCCCACTCCCTCTTCCCTACCACTCCCAGAGTGAAGGAAGAGACAGCTCTCCGCCTCCGCCTTGGAGCGACGCCGCCGCCGGAGTTCGATACTGACTGATGGGTGGCTTCGGGACCTCGCGCCCTGCCTCCTCCGTCGCCCTCTGCGCCTTCCTCACCTTCCTCAACCTCTTCGCCTTCCTTCTCGCCGTCGGCGCTGAGCGCCGCCGCAGCACCGTACGCGACCCCTTTCTCTCTCCCTTCGCTCCGGTCCCTCTGCATCTCCTCCGCTCCTACGCTACGCGCGTCGCTGAGATCTTCCTGCTCGATGCCTCGATGCAGGGGAAGGTGGTGCCGGACGAGTACGACGAGCGGTCCTACTGCCTCTACGACACCGACGCCTCCACGGTCTACGGCGTCTCCGCTTTCTTCGTGCTCCTGCTCCAGCAGGCCGTTGTCACCGCCGCCACGCGGTGCCTCTGCTTCGGCCCCGTGCTCTCCTCCCGCGGCTGCGCCGTCACCGCATTCGTCCTCTCCTGGTGCGTGACTTAAACCCTAGACCCGCACCTAAACCCCGCATTTTTCCCCTTCTTTCTTCTTTCTTTGATCTGTATGTGGCGTCATGGGCTGATGACGCGTGCCACGGCCTGTAGGTTAGATTGATCCGTAGATTTGGTTCAATTTCAGTACATTTGTTTCTCGGTTAGGCACATGTGCATACGCTTGAGGATTGCAAATCCGAATCTGTTTGTGCAGTAGCCTCCATGGTTGCCTTTTGTAAGCTTCATTTGGAGGCAGATAGTTTTTCTTTGAAATTTTAAGATGTGGGGGCTTACCCTATACGCTTGAGGATTGCAAATTTTAATATGCTAGAACAACAGTAATGAACTTATTGATGAATAGTTTAGCAACATAGGCTTGGAGCTGTTTACCAGTTTTACCTCTACCATTAGTGCAAGAGCAGCGGGAAGCAATTTCTCCATAATCATTTGATAATACTGTAAATGTAGTTTTGTAATGCTGCCATGGTGCATTCATTAACGAAATTATTTATTTGAATTCATTATATGGATAGGTCGCACTCATTTGGTTGAATTATATGGACCTGTAACAGCTTATTGTGGGTCCAAATGATGAATGGCAGTTATGCAATTATGGATGAATTATCAGCATAGGCTTGTAGTTGTTTACCTGTTTTGGTTGTTCCATTACTGCAAGAGCAGTGGAAGGGCTATGTACTCACAAGTATAGAGCAGATTCTACAAAATCATTTGATAATACTGTCAGTGTACTTCCAAAATTCTCGAATGGCTTATACATTAACGGCAGCATACCGTTGTATTCTTTCAATTAGTTCTATGGACAAGTGGCACTCTGCTGGTTCAATTATATGGACCTCCATCCTACAGCAGTACAGCTCTTTATGTGTCCAAATGGTGAATGATTTATGTAGCATACCAATACACATTTAGAAGAGAAGAGTAACGTCAATTGGTCTAACATTATGAAATCAGTGTTTCTGGGGAAGCATATTCCACTAGATTCTTCAGTGGCTGATGGTGCATCCAAATTTATCTATGCTTTAGCTTATCTCATTTTTCCAAGATACTTTTTCCCCAACCCATTGCTTTTGTTATGTATGTGACATACCTGCTATCAGCATGTTAATGGGTGCCTTTGATATGCCTTCAGATTGTTCTTTTCTGTTAAATGCATGCTAGTTGTGATTTAGGTTTGAGGAGTTATGCGAGTAATGTTTGATAAAACTCAAAAATTATAAATTTTAAAGATTAGTACTCAATGAAATATTTTTCTCTTGATAATTTGAAGAAATATCACTATTTATTAATATGTATCTCAATGTGAAAACTATGAACTGCCAATCACCATAACAGTTGTATTGTTTTTCATATTAATAATCTGAGTCCCTCAAGCCTCCTTAACTTCATCTTTAATGGAATTTTAATCAAAGTTATGAGCTATCTTTATCAGTAGTCTTTTACATATATTACATATCATGTATCTCCCAACCCTTTTCTTGTGTGGTATTGAACTGGTGGCGATGCCTGCTGCTTATAAATTAGTGACCGCTGTTTGCTATGTACTGCACACCTTTTGTGAAACCAAAACAATCACAGAAAATTTCAGATGTTTTTGTTAAGAGTAATCTCTACTACCTAGGGCCTCTGTTTGGAATGCAGGAATGAAAAACACCAAAAAGGAAGAAAACACAGGAATAGGAAAGAAGTGTAGTGGCCAAACAGATGATTGGAGAACATAGGAATTAGAAGAGCTGGTGTTTGGGATGCAGGAACAAAAAGAGCATTGGAAAAAATTGGAATTAATGGGAAACTTGTTTGCTTGGACTCGATGTGGTTTTCATTCTTAAGTCATGATGATCAGGTAGTCTGCTCATCTCTATAGGCGTAAGAGTTTCTATTAGCAACCCACTGACATATGGATCATTTGACTTACTACCACACATCCGTGAAGGATTGAACACTTCTTCCATCTCCTTTCTGCTGCTTTCACTCTAGTTTCTTCCATTCTTGATCTTATTATTTCTTCCCCAAGTCTAGTCTCTCTCCTCCACCTGGGCACAATCACACTCAGCCCACGCCAAGAGCCACCTTGGACCACTCCCAACTGACAAGGGAAGATTGTCTATGTTGTTCCATTCAGGATGGTCCACAACAACACTCTGTAGGCGCTTGGTTGGTGTGGAAGACGGAAGATGAGAAGAGGCTGCGATGCACTTGATGGTGCAAATCAATTTAGCAGTACGGATCTTGCTTTGATGCTGTTTCTTGTATGTTCACCTCTGTTTTCTCTCTCCAGCGCGTGTCCACCTCGAGCATCTGAAAAAACTTTGGGTCTGGGCAAATGTTTTAGTTGCATTCTGCAAAGGGAACTCATCCTTTCTGGAGGAATGGTGATATTCATTCCTCCAATCCAAACCGCACATTCCAATGATCCAAACAGGGCCTTAAAACATTCAAGTTGATGCTGATGATTTGCCTGCCATCACCATCACTCTGCCCCTAAACTTCTTAACCCAACCTTTGCCATTGAGTCTGATTATTGGGAATTTGTTGACTGTCTTATTTCACTTTGATGGTTGTCATTTTTCTGTGACACTATTATCACATGAATTGTTTATGCACATGTAATTGTTTGATTTTTTATGCCTTTGCGATACATGGGCTTTTTGCTAGTTTTGAAAATTATTGTAGTTGTAAGAAACCTCAAGCTGCTTGGCTGGTGGCACCAAATCTGAGGTTTTGGCCAGACCTCAAAAAGTTTAGCAAACCTACCCTAATAAAGTTAGCCTACACCTGACCATATTGCATCTCTTGAGTCCTTAATGGGAGGATCCACATTAAAAGCTTTCTCCATTATGATCCAATCATCCTGGTGACCTCTATTCTGGCTCCAGCAAACTGTTGTTTGATTAAGGTAGGGGGTTTTCTGAAACCTTGTTGCTTTAAGGCCTGATGTGAAGCGTCAGTAACAAAAGGAAATCTAGGTTTTCTGCACTATGATTATTAGACAAGTTTGGTTCTGAAGTTTCATCACTGTGATCATAGTCTTTATTCTTCCTTCAAAAATCTTGGTATTCAGAACTAGGACTGTAGTTTCCAGATTCGCTATTAACTCCCACTAGTGGGTCCCTCTTTGGCATGCAAACCCGTCTGAATGTCTTTCTTGTATATGTGGAAACATTTGTAGTTGGTGTACAAGTACATTGTTTGAAGAGTGCTTGCAATAATCAAAATTTGCTGCGGGACATTTATTTTTGTGCCTTTTGCTCTAGGACAGCTATTGTGGAAATCAGCCAGTGGACATTATCTTCTGTTTTCATACATTGGCTATTGGGCACAATTCAGTGCCCTTCTGCACACGTTTGTTGTTCCAGAATACTAAATTGTGTCCTGCAAAAATTTTCCCACGATACATGCCTTCCTGATACATAATTTGGTTGAAAAATATATAAGCTTAATTTTGTACATGGGCGTTTTTTTATTAGGTCAGATGTAGAATTTGGATTGGACCATTCAGTTGGTTACTTTTTTATTAAGTCAGATGTACACATTGGTGCTATTTCCTGAGATCTAAAAGTGCTGTTTGGAAATAACTTGGTCCTTCCATTGTGTTTTCACTTGTTTGCAGGATAACATTTCTCATCGCAGAAGCTTGCCTCATAGGAGGATCGGTGAGGAATGCAAAGCACACCAAGTATTTAGGTTACTATATGAAGCATGACTTGGTGACCTGCGCCACCCTTCGCAAGGGAGTCTTTGCAGCCGCCGCTGCAATGATGATCATCAACCTCTTGGCGTCCCTTGTGTACTACTGGAGTTACTCAAAAACCGCGACGGGCGGATTCATGAAGCACCAAAATGAGGTTGGTGTGGGCATGACGGATTACGGCCTTGACAAGGGTGTTTCTGGGCCCTGAGTGAGGAGATGGAATCTTACTGGCGTCTCTGCACTGTGGGTTGCACCTGCGGTATGATATATCGTTGAAATGTATGTGCACTAAGTTCTATTGTTTCTCTACGGTGTGAATGATGTACCATGATTGTACTCTGACATGTGTTAGTGGTGATGTTGTATGGTCGTGATTTATATCTATGAAAAATGTGGTAGCATTAGCTGTACTAGCCGTTGTGCACGACACGGACATGGCTTCCTGCTCACAGCGGTGGTTGTAAAACAGCAGAAATCAGAAAGCGGGACTTCAATGTTCTTCGCTGTCATAAAATCATGCAAGGTGGTACTGTACTGATTTTGCACTAAAATGGCATCTGTTGCGCATGCAAGGACCGGCTGCACCTTTTTTTTTTTTTTGACAACAAGACCGGCTGCACCTTTATTCGCCGCCTAAAGTTAGTACTGTTTCCGTCCTAGTAGTATCTCCGGGGCATGTGTATACTTGGGGAAATTTACTGCACATAGTGATAGTTTACGTTGGCATAGCACAAAAAATTGCCCTAAAAAAAATTAAAACATGTTAACCACTCATCGGGATCATGAATATAAGTGAGTTGGAGTCAGCTGCCATAATTTTCTTTTATTGCACTGGTCAGGATTTGAGTACGAAATATTTAGATGCATCGACCAATTTAACTCAAAAGTTTAAGATACTACATTGAGGTATGTGATTGTTATGTTAAGTTTTTTTTGGTTAAATTAGTTGGTGCATGGAAAACAATATACTGTCAGTCCCTGGCGTCTTGAGTTTGAATTCTGGCGGATGCAATTACATAAAATAATTACACTTAACTCGTACTATTTTCGTGTTCGAAGCCCGGGTGGATGCAATTAAATAAGGGAGTGTTTGAAACTGCTCCACTCCACGTTCTTTAGCACCGCTCCACGCTTTTTAGCGAAACAGGTTTAGCTTTACGCACTCCACAAACTCTAGGTGTCGAGGTTATGATACCCCAGTTATCTCAAGACACCGATTAGTTAGCTTCACGGGCGGCCCACAACACACAAGCTGGTATAAGCCCGAGCGACCGTGGCCTAACTAAGCTGTGTAGACATGGGACAAACACCACGATGAGGAGTCGGCCACTACCTCCTCCCTCTCCCTTCACCGCGCGCCACACCGCATGACCTCTCTTCCGTCCCTACCCCTGAGAAAGGCAAGAGGTGTCGAGTTCCATCAAGTACACCTACCCTAACAAGAGCAGGCACGCTAGGACCAAGGGGACAGCAGTCTCGGAGCAGGCGCCGTCCCTGCGCCATGCCATAGACAAGATAGGACCGCCAGGCGGTGACGACAGGTACAATAACCACCGTCCAAATATGGCCCGACAGGACGGACGTACGACTCCACCCACTATGGGATGGGGCTCACGATAGCGGCCTTGACTTCCAAGAACGCCCAAGCCAACGAAGGCCACGACCCCAAAGTTTGGTATCGTGGCCATTGGCTCCATGAGCAGCAAGACGACTAACGACCCGAGGGTGGCTACCAACTCCTGTTCAACGCCCACGGGACATGAGGAGGCCAAGACGGAGACCACGTCACATAGGACGGCTGGCGAACCACCACTGCGCCAACAGTGTCGCCACAACCAGCACAGTAGCACCACGTCGCCCCCATACCATGACGTGGGCACAAGACCATGACGACAACCATGCCCAGACATGCGCTACATCAAGACAAGATGACATTCCTTGCCGGCCAAGTTAGCTAGGTTCCTTCCCTCAGGCTCATGACCCCTCGGTCGGGAGAACCTATCACTTTGTACGTGGCCTAGCTCCGGGCACTATATAAGGGCAGCCATGGCACCCCTCCAAGGCATCGAACTCTCGAATCCTTCATTCGGACAGTCCCTCTCCATTCTCCTACCCCTTTCACCCTTCTTGCATACCCTATTGTAAGAACTTCAGAGCATTCAATCGAGGAACCAGTATAATTCTTTATGTCTTTTGGATGCTACTATCGTCTTCTTGGAGCAACGCGACCATCATACAAATTTACTATACGGTCGATAAAACATCGACAGTTGGCGCACCAGGTAGGGGACAGTCGCACACTCTCGTTATTGAGAAGGAAGCGATGGCTCCTCGCACCGTTGATGGATTCGCCCGTGGAATGGACCCAGCAGGCCGCATCCGTCATGGGAACCCCGAGTCTGTTGGTGTCGATGGGCCAGCGCCCACGTCTGCCTTCAGCCCTGGCTAGGTTCTCCACCCTGGAGTCCTAGACTCCATGGCCTACGGCGGACACACTCTCGAAAACGGCCCCCGGTGGCCACATCCTAGAGTTCACCTACATAGGGGGGCCAGCACCCTCTCTTATCACTAGCCATGGCCCGATCTTACACCCTAGAAACCCGAGGCACGTGGCTCATGGAGAGCTCGCCCATGGAATGGCCCTCAGTGGCGACATCCTCTTGGGAAACCATGAGATCGCCCACACTAACGAGTTCACGCCCGTTACCGGCTCCTACCCCGTCTAGGCCCTCCGCGCTGGATCCCGCGGCAGGACCATGCCCTAAGCAGCATATCGCTGTCGGTGGGCCACGGTGGATCAGAGCGCACATGAGCGACTAAACCATCCGCCGCCATACGACGTCGTCCCAAGTGACCGAACGGCCATCCGACATCATCCCTCACAAGGTCAAGCCTAGACCCTAGGCTAGGCCACGCGCACCAGACCGGCCGTCCGCCACGATGGTACGAACTGTCAATCCTCCCGTGGAGGCGTGCGCATCCGAGGACGCATGTCCTCCGAACGCGCGCCACGCCGCAATAAGTAGGTCCCACTCACTCTCCATCGCAGACGGCAACCACAGTCAGGAGCGAAGAAGCAACAACATCAATGTCGTCGTGGCACGACGTCTCAGGCATTAAGATGGTCGAGCCCTCACGACCAAGGGCATCCCTAGGCCAAACACGGAGAAGCTGTCCCCGGGGGCTCACGAGCCCGCCAAGGACATCAAGACAGCAAGGGTCGGCTCAAGGGATTCCTGAAGGACGACCCACGCTGGCTGCGATCGCTCTGGACAATAGAGAAGCGCCTTCACCAGCATGCGGTTCATGATCCACAACGACCTCGCCGTGGACAAGCACTCAGGGGCTCGCCATACCCCGAGCAACGACAGCAGGATACACAATAGCTTCTGGTACATCGATCGGTTACGACAACTCTATCCCTAGCTTCTTTACCTAAGCACATTCACATACACATGTAGGCTCACCCATAGCTCCAATAACATAGAGCCAGCTCATAGATTAAACCCAAGAACATGACACTCGCACAACTTATTTTATCGTTGTTCACCTTCCGAGTGACTCGTCCTAGCCTGCGTCGATAGCCGAACATGACTCACTCGCGGGGACCACACATACGGCATGCATATATATGCTCTAAGGCATAGCACTCGCTTGTCACCGTCCCAGTGACCCGTTTCGAGTTTTTTTCCGATCGTACCTCGCACCGCTACGAATCGGTTACCTGCTTCTCAACTTCTTATTTGTACTAAGGGGTCGCTCCAACCAAGCCTCATGGACCAGCTCCAAGGCAAGACCAAGCACCCGTGCATGAGCTCGAGGGGAATCAAAATATTTCGCTCAAGGCAAAGGGAACAAGTGGAAACAGAACTCTTGTCACCTGCTCGTTTTCTTCTCGCATTGCACCGGATCTGTGACCTGCCCCCGACGTCTTACCGCGCCGTTAGGTTGTGCACCTTTTAGCCCCATGGGCCAGCCCCCTAGCTAAAACATGCACCCACGCGTGCGAGACTAGGGGAACAGAGCACATTCTAACTCGAACGGAAAGAAAGCAAAAAAGGCAGCAAAATGACTAACGAATGCATCGACCAAACACCATATATACACAAAATATAGTGTAATTCATTACAATAGGATCACCCATGTCATACAACATATCCATGTGGACAACTGTCATGCACCAGAAGCTTGGTACTGGAGGCGGACGGTGGCAGCCGACACCTTGTTCGCGAGGACCTCTGCACACGAGCGGCGGAATTGCCGATGCCAAGGATCTCATTGTCGGATTTCTTCGACGAGTACCCTTGCCACACGGCATCGTAATCGACGCCATCATAATGCGAGCCGACCAATGTAATGCAGCCATCTCTTGCGCCCTCTGGTCCTCAACCGTCCTCTCCTCCAAATCTGAGAGCGCCTTTGTGCATAACCCTAAAAAAACAACCGGTCCTTAACCAAGTCCAATAACCGAGCGAAAGCATGAGGCAGGTAGAGAAAACTCATCAGTGCAAGTGGATCGAAGACTCTAGCACTTAGCTTCGAGACACTGGTGACCCTGCTCGTCCTCGTTTGGAGCAGCGTCCGCTGCATTGATCTTTGTCTCCTAAATGCGACTAATGCTGCCTTGAGACCGCCACACAGGTCTTCACAAAAACCGATTTGAGATCGAGCCCAGCCTCCCGCTCCAAAGCTAACCTCGAGCCAAATCAATCACTCTGGTGGCATTGATCGAGACCACGCAGCGGCTCTGCACTGCGCCTTCTAGGAAGCTTCTAGCTCTGACACAAGCGTCGCACTCCGTCTCCGCCTTGACCAGAGGCCATGGTCCATGGCACCCGCACTGCATTCGGTAGGCTAAGCACAGAACTAGGACTTCTCCATTGAAGTCCTCATCACCCCTACAAAAAGAAAGAGATGACCACACCATCGACTAAAAAGTATGACTCAGGGCAAAGAAGCTCAAGGACAAAGCGAGGCAAAGAAGGTCCACCTACACCAGGGCCACAACGTCATTGGTCATCAACCATTTGGGCCTCCAAACTCAACCCGGCAATCGTGGCGGGCATGTCTCATGTAATCCCGGTTTTTGTGCAACCCAAAAATATGAACTTTTAAAAATTTTCCTACAATTTGTGTTGCATGAAGACGCTAGGTCAAACCTAAGCCAATTCCTTTCTTTCTTGGCCTAACTTCAACTTAGGACTTCAT